GGTAACGCTTCCAGATTGGATTCAAAAGTTACCACAATTCCGTTTTGCATTCACAAACAGCGAACGGAGCCGAGAAATTTTAAAACAGATTACTGTACATGGCGTCCTCGAATACAAACATGATAATTTTGTTACTGCTTGAAGTCATTTTTTTAGAGAGAGGAACAAAAAGGAAATGAAAAGGAAATTTTATGGCACTGCAGAAAAGCGCCGACTTCAAACTTGAGACTCACTGCCACCCATTCATTGAGAATGACCTAGCTGTTCAGTGAGCAATTTCTCCGCCAAAACTTCTAAGTACCGAACGTGAGCACCATGCATACCTGAGCTAAATTTGGTGCGTTCGAGTTGTTCGTGGACGGACCCTTGCAAACTCTTGAAATTTTAGCCTTCCAGCTTTCCTGGTTGCTAAGTTAGCAGTCTTCCAACCAAAACTCCTATGTGTTTACACGAGGCTCAGGGGCGTATGGAGGCTGGTATCGTATCTCTGGACTGGCGTGTGGTCAAGGAACCGACTGGTAAAGTTTAAGCGCGGAAACTTACTTGGTTGCCAAGTTTAAATAGCAGACGGACGTACGTACACACACACAACATCTATGCAAAAACGCAGAAAACGAGAAAAGCTAAAGGTCGAGCGCATTCCGACCATGTAGCGATTCCTGCACACAAGTTTGTGGTGGAGGTAATCTTCGCTGACAATGATGCTTCTCGTAGGAGGATAGGTTCGCTGACAATGATGCTTCTCGTAGGAGGAAATTTGAAGCAGTGGCGCTTTTCTGTGCATGCGAGTACGCTGCTTGGGAGGAGCACGGAATGGGAGGGAAAGACCAAGAAAGGAGCACGGAAATCAATTCTAGTGCTTCGATACCTTCCTGATGACCTCATTTACGAAGGAAGAGTTTGCTGGGTGCTTCGGATTGGGAACTAGAAAATGCAGAGGTCAAACGAAGTAACATAGAACAACAAACATGCCTCACTGTATCAAACTTCTGAAAGGCATCAAGAGATACATTACAAGGAGTTAGATGAGCAGTAACGCTACTTTTAATCCTTCAAAATCCCGCAACGCGTTTGGATGATGGGCATGTCAGCGCGCTATTCCTATCATCCGCGGGTCCAGGGAAGGGAGGGAGGGGGCGAGGGACCTTTCTCCTCTCCCCTCTCTCCTTCCCTCCAGAAACCTAGGTAGTCTTAGTTTAGTGTCCATCGTCTATAGCGGGGGGAGGGGGTGAAGGGGGATGCTGTAAAACTTTTAAGGGGGTGTAATAGGACGACCGGAAGAGGAAAGGGGGGGG